CTTTGCTCGTCCTCACACTACATTAGTCCAAGTAAAGACTGTATCTTTCTTCGTAGTACTTCGTTGTCTAATTGTATCCGTTGATCCTCCCCATTTGTATATGCATTCAGAGGTTTATAACCAAAAAAAAAGCAAGACCAATCAGTGTTCACTCATTACTCAAACTTATAAATCAAAACCTAGCTGACGTGAGTAATACCATACCATTTGTAAGAACATTAAAGCAAATAACTATCATCAGCAAAGAGAAGAACTTTCGTCCAGGCAACAGCGATGCCGTCTTTCAGTAAAATCGAAAGAAAAGAACAAAATCAACACCAAGAACTAATTCTAGCGACAGAAGAAGTAAAATTGTATATATCTCATAGTTTTCTTACAGTATTGTAACCTCTCTCACGTTCAACATGTTGACTCGTAGTGACCTGAGTGTTACGCATCTGGGATTTTGCAAAGAACACACCATCAAATCAAATTCATTGAAAGAAAACAACGGAGCAAATCTACCAAGTAAATAAAAAAAGTTACGAAACCTGATCGATAACGTATGGTTTCCCAGCTAGTGTGTTGTGTCTGGCAATGCAATGAGGGACACTGAAAGGTGTCTCTTGCTAAGCTAATCCTCTTGAAACATTACAAGATCCTAATCACATATACAAGTGGAAAGAAAACCAAAGTTCTAAGAACGTATTGCTCTTGGCAACCCAGAAGGACAAGTAAGAATGATACTAAGCAATAAGCAGCTTTTGGCTTAGGAGTCCTCTTCTTCAGATTCCTAAGAATGATAGTAATCGCTAAGGACAAGTAAGAATGATACTAAGCACTAAGGAGAATGATACTAAGCAATAAGGAGGAGTAAGGGTGTTGAGTTCTTCATTCCAATAAAGAAGAGCAATGCTCCAAAGAAGGCAACACTCTGCAATAACAAAAGGAAAGACACTTTTATTCATTATCCATTGTCATAAGACTGAAAGGTTTAAGCTGTAAAGCTCCCTTCTTATCGATTACGATATTGAGATTTTTAAAGTCATACAATTGGTAAGCTATGAATTTCCTTGTTGTAACAACGAGATGAACAAGTAGAAGCCTAACCAGACGATAAGCACCGAAGACGTTTCCGATAACAAAGAGTAAGCCTCCGACTCCTTTCATGGCAGCTACATAATAAAAATTCATTCTACATAATATACAATTCCATAACACAGAGATAGTGAACAAGCAAGATTCTGATTCATCTACTGAAATGCAGAACATATGAACAATACACCTCAAAATCCAATTATGAGAGAAAGAAGCTAAATGCGACATGGATTCAAATGTATTCAAGCTCGAAATGAGATCCAGATCGAAACATAAAGTACTCAAATGATAGATTCAGATTTCCAGATTAGATCTATGACGAATCAATCNCATATAACTAAAATCAAATTCTTCGTTCCTTCCTTTTCTCATCATCATAGTTTAATTCAACTGAACCCTCTGGCCAGTTAGAGTCTTCTTATACAGCTACATTTTTTTCTTTTTATAAGACTAATCTTGCTTCTGAAGTAGTTGTTGCAGCGACATCACATTGGTCACCTCCACCACTGGGTTGGCTAAAATGTAACCATGACACAAGTTTCCAAAGTGCCGGTACACATATCGGATCAGGTTGGATCATCCGAAACATTATTGGTGACTTTCTTTGTGGAGGGTCTTCCTTTCTCCCTCAAACTAGCAATGCGCTCGAAGCTGAAGCTTATAGTCTTCTTCATGCTATCAACTATTTTGGTCTCGTGGATATCGATGGTTAATTTTTGAAGGAGATTCGAAGCAGCTAGTCGACTTGATTAATTATCGCACAAAAGACATAGCAATAGACTATTTAATCCATGATTGGATGAATCGTTTTGCAGGTGTTCGTGTAGTCTATACAGGAAGGAAAAACAATGCTATCGCTGATAAACTTGCTCACATTGGCAAGTCTCAATATCAGTCATGTTGTATTTACAATGTTATACCTACAATTTTATTCATCATTTGTTTGTTTGAAAACATTCTCATTTCATTGAATAAACAAGACATACACTCTCACTTACGTTACACCAATGAATGTAAG